CAAGCTATCCCCCTGGGTAGAGTGCTGTAGCATCACAGCTCACAGCAACCTCCAACTCCTGGGCTCAAGTGAGTCTCTCGCCTCAGCCTCCCAAGTAGCTGGGACCGCAGGTGCCCGCCACAATGCCTGGCTAATTTTTGGTTGCAGCCGTCAATGTTGTTTTTGGCAGGCCCAGGCTGGATTCGAACCCGCTACCTTAGGTGTACGTGGCTGGCGCCTTAGCCACTTGAGCCATAGGCGCTGAGCCATCAGTGAAAATTATTAAAGGATCAGACAACCTTCACGAAATAGAAGTGGTGCCTGGATCCAACTTAATTTTAAAAGTGCAGTACTGTGCCAAAGGGCAAGATACGCATGCTTGGCCATGACACCAAGTCCACTACCTTCAATAAGCATTTAACAATGATCCAAAGCCATTCAGACCACAGAGGTGAGAAAACACTCTATTTAAACTTGGAACTTTTTTTTTTTTCTTGAGACAGAGCCTCAAGCTATCTCCCTGGGTAGAGAGCTGTGATATCACAGTTCACAGCAACCTCCAACTCCTGGGCTCAAGCGAGTCTTCTGCCTCAGCCTCCCAAGTAGCTGGGACCACAGGCGCCTGCCACAACACCCAGCTATTTTTTGGTTACAGCCATCATTGTTGTTTGGTGGGCCCAGGCTGGATTTGAACCTGCCATCTTAGGTGTATGTGGCTGTATCTTCCAATAACGGAATAAACACCTCCTGTATACGTCATCCACTCTTTCATCTGGTAATTATTATTATTTTTTTCTTGAGACAGAATCTCACTATGTTACCCTTGGTAGAGTGCTGTGGCATCACAGCTCATAGCAACCCCAAACTCTTGGGCTTAAGTGATTCTCTTGTCTTAGTCTCCTGAGTAGCTGGGACTATAGGCGCCCACCGTAATACCCAGTTATTATTATTTTTTTTTTGGTTGCAGTTGTCATTGTTGTTTTTAGCAGGCCTGGGCCAGGTTTGAACCCAGCGGCCCTGGTGTATGTGGCCGGTGCCCTAACCACTGGGCTACAGGCACCAAGCCACATATGATAATTCTTAAGAGCGTGGAATAAACATAGACTGTGACTACAAGTTATGTCTCAAATATAAAAGTGCAGCTCTAATCCTTGCCCTGAAGAAGCGTATACATTATAATTTACTTATTTATTTATTTAATTTTTTTTTGTAGAGACAGAGTCTCACTTTATTGCCCTCGGTAGAGTGCTGGGGCATCACATACCTCACAGCAACCTCTAGCTCTTGGGCTTAGGCCATTCTCTTGCCTCAGCCTCCTGAGTAGCTGGGACTACAGGTGCCTGCCACAATGCCTGGCTATTTTTTTGTTGCAGTTTGGCCAGGGCCAGGTCTGAACCCGCCACCCTCGGTATATGGGACCAGCGCCCTAACCACTTAGCTACAGGTGCTGCTCTACTTATTTATTTTTTCAACTGTGCCATACCAAAGGGCAGAAACTATGGATACTATACTACTGGCAGAAAATAGACACCTATTAAGTAGAGGAGAAAGTAACAAGCTGGTGTGGCTATTTGGATTTCATAATATATGTAAATAGTGTGGGAGTAACTTTCTAAATCAGCTAGAGAGTAGATTAAGTGGTAATGGGCAGTTTCCTGAGAACATCCTTGATAGGAGTTGGAGTTTGAAGGCTAGAATGCAAAGTTGTGTAGGAGAGGCCAGGCACAGTGTCTCTGCTCACTCCTGTAATCCTAGCAGTGTGGGAAGCCACAGCAGAAGGATCACTTGAGGTCAAGGGTTTGAAACCAGTCTGAGCAAGAGTGAGACCCGATCCCTAATAAAAACAGAAATATTAGCTGAGCATCATGGCAGTCTCCTATAGTACCAGCAGTAACTCTGGAGGCTGAAGGCTGAAGCAGGAGAACTGCTTGAGCCCATGAATTTGAGGTTGCAGTGAGCTATAATGATACCACTGTACTGTAGCCTAGGACAAAAGAGTAAGACTGTCTCTCTGCCCCCCCCCCAAAAGTGACAATTAACAATTAGTGGGAGGATGAGAGAAGGGGAGAGGGAGAAAGAGAGACAGACAGACATGCTAAGGATCAGACATTGAGTAATGAAGCCACAGTGGAAGTGGATCCTCTGGTCCTACCACTTTTGCTGACAGCATGTTCATCAGAGATAAACCACCCACACAAAGCTTTCCTGAATTTCTGACCTACAAAATTGTGAGCAAAGCA